CAGTTCGGTCTAATTTGACTCTACTAGTGCTCTCATGGTAGATGTTTTTAGGGTGTTTATGTATTGTTGGTGAATATTTTTATTTTTCTAGAGCTCTCCAAATGCGCTTGTGCGGATTGAATCAAAATGTTTATCGCCAAAAATCAAAAATTGTGTTTTTTTCTTAATTCGTTATATTTTTCTATTATCTGTTCAACAACGTGAATATTAATATAATAAATGTATAAATAAATAAATAAATAATATCTAGGAACGCAAACAGGCAATGTAATGATGACATACAAAGCTACTCCTGTTTATTTCTGCCGCTAAGCATAGTGCATCCACTGTTATGTACAGCATTGCCGGTTTTTCTTTGTTTGAAGTACTTTATCAGTATTCGTGGGCTACAGTAACCATTTACCATTGGCTAGCCTTGGTTTTCTTGCGTAAATTTTATAAAAAAAGACGATTTAGTTTGTTTTAAAGCACAACAGCACACATCTTTCTAATCTTATAAAGTAACACAAATATTTATTTATTACATTTAGTTTATAATTATCTTTAGAAGGAATGACACTGATTTTCACTAAATCTTATTCATATCAGGTATATTATTCGGCGTTTAACAGCCTCGTTGGTCTAGTAGTTGTAGTAGTACAACTGCTAATCATGAGGTTCTTGTTTCGAATCCCGGGTCGTGCCAATAAATCAATTATTGAATTTTTCTATCAAGAAATTCTCATTAGCTACCCTGAGTCAGGAAGTTGGTGGTGTCTCACCCCCGTGCCTTGGAAAGTACGTAAAGCCGTTGGTCCTTCGCCTGATCTCTCTTCTGTCGTGTAGGTTTACCGTCCCATTGGATTATGAGAGTGAGGGAATAGAGAGTGCACCTGTGCTTGCGCATACACTTGGGCACTATAACCCTGTCCTGCGCCGATGGCTAGCCTCCGTTGAGGCAGGCTGCCGTGGCTGAAATTCGGTCTGGAGGACATTTTCATTATTATTCGGCGTAACAAAATCCCTTATTTTACTCGATATTTTACTGTATTGTATTATCTCATATCATCCCGTGGAGTCGTAGCAGGTGACGGGGAAAAACAAAACTGAAAGTGGGCAGTAGCAACTTCTTGGTAAAAAATTAAAAAAGAACTACGGTTACTAACCCACCTACCAAGTGTGGTAGCTCTGGTAAAATCCCACCTACAAGACAATCTGAAGAGTGAGGCTTCAGTAAGTTCAGTATTGCACTTTTAATATGCTGTAATGATGAGTCATCTAATATCATTTTGGTTTTAAAACAATAAATAAAGTGATGTTCTAATTACTAGAAAATTTAATAGACCTACAGTAAAAAAATCAACCTAACTTTAGAAACAAATAAACACTCAACGCGGCCTCATAATGAAGGCCGTGACCCTTTCCGTAGGCTGTTTGCATGCGCCTGCTGTTGACTCACCTCGACCAAAAAAAGCGTCATTGTGTTACTTCGTGTCATAAAGCTGCCTCGACATGAGAGATGTAATTTTCCCTACTACCAATGAGTTTCCACTGCTTTCGTTAAACGTTGTCGTTTTGAATGTTTTAATATTGCCATTTTCCAAATTCAAAAGCGGTAACTTTATGATTTTAATAATTAAATTTTACTTGCAACTTGGAATTTATATATAACAAGCATTTATAATAATTTGAATGAAACTATTTGTAAAGGTATAGCAGCTACATATTCTAGATATTTAAGCAAGTTTTAAAATAACTAACTTCTGCGTTATAATTTATAGTTATATAAATTTGTCTATTTGTCACGCTCTGATATGAAACATCTATAGGTGCGTTTTGGTAGTAAAACCGATTCATACGCCGTGACGCAAACGAAATAATTCTCTAGACGAAATCTGAAACTGACATTTCATTTTGTGATACACAGGTACAAGTTGCATCAACAACGAGTTAGGCCATTATTTTACTCCATATTTTTTATTTGTTTTCATTAATTGTAAATTCGACTATTATTTATGATGTTTCACATCTGCCGGGCGGGTCGTGACGGCCAACTTTATTATTTATTTTAGAATCTAAACTTTTTTATGTTAATTAACGGAACAAAAACTTAATCAAAAAATAGCTTTTTATATAAAGAAAAAGCCGACATTCAAAGAATAAAAAAATGTTTCCACTTAACAGTTTCAGGAGACGCGCCTAAGAAATAATGGCTAAAGAATAAAAGCCCCGACCTCAGAAGCTGTTATGTGGAAAACTTTTATTATTTTTAAGTTCTTTTAAGATTGATTTTACATTTTATTAAAAGATAATTTTTTACTCTTTTAAGAGGATTATAGAATATCACAAGCTTTTTTTTAAAGCATTGGATGACAAACGAGCACACAGTCCACCTGATGGTAAGTGGATGCTGTGGCTCATAGACATCCACATTTATTTTATCCTCAATTAAGAATTAAATTGCAGATGTGTTGTCACCCTTGAGAATTGAGTTTGAATGCCTCGTTTCCAGTAATAAAGGGTCTCCGGATACGCTCACCATACGAAACACAACAGTATTTAGCTCCTATTTTACGCTGGTATTCTGTGAGAGCATGGTCCTTCCCCGATCGAGCCAACCCAACCAAGCATAAGGTAACAACGAGGATGTGGTCTTAACAGTCATATTAAAAACTTCCTCGCCTATTATCCCACATTTAGGCGTAGAATTATTTCTCAAAATTTATAAAGAACCAACTCTGAAGTCTAACCTATTTAATAAAAAACGAACCATTAAAATCGGTTCATTATTGACAGTTACAAGTAAAATGAAAAAATGTTGTACAACCGACTTCAATATAAATAAAATGAGAACATTATCAATGTAGTCTAAGTCAATTAAATACGCATTATTAAGGATAAATTAAAAACTACTGTTTAGATTTTAATTAAATTTATATGGGACCACATGAGAAGTACCAGCTTTCAAAATAAAAAAAAGATTCATCAAAATCGGGTCAAAAATCCAGTCGAATTGAGAATCTCTTCCTTTTTTGAAGTCTTTTGAAAAACATATATATATATATATATATATATATATATATATATATATATATATAACTTTGTACATTTGATAGAAATGAAATGCTTAGCAAGCGGATTGTTAATCGCAATGCCAGACACATTTTACTCGCTTCATCCAGATTTAGGTCTGACATATTTAAAATGGCTGTCCCGTCATGTGTGGATTATTAAACCACTTATAAGTTGAAATGGGTAGACTTATTCTTGTAAGGACTCGAGATAAAGCGTACGGTGTTGCATAAGTGTTCTATTAGAAACTGGAATGTGGCGGTATGAGAAACCCATCATTTCATATCGTCCTCAGGGTGGGCATCACAAGAAGCAACTTGGAGGAATGTTTACTAGGAGAAAGGAACTTTTTTTCTACCTAGAAATCTGGCTTGACAGGTCACCCTCTTGCTTAATAGTGCGTGCGATGTTGTGTTCTGATCTAAAGGGTATAAAGATCCAGTATAATTACAGTCTCTGAGGGATTCAATGTTAGTCCTCAGAGGTGATAACATATCTGTAGCCTTCTTCATTTTTTTTAAAACGTTACCCCCACACTAGGATTTTCTCCTGTATCGTGGAGGCAGTTTACAAACATAAATTGCACAAGGACTAACATCTAGACGCGGAACAATTATTTGTAGGCCGTACAAATACTTGTTCCGTGTGACATTCGGGCGGGCTGTAAGTTCATTTATCAATTAAGTTTATTAAGAAATACGACATGATATAACCGACTAATGGACGCAACGACAGAGGCCACTTCTAAAACTGCGTTTTCCATTCCGCCTGCCAAACATAGCATAATATTCAATAATGATTATTTTAAATTTCTCATTTACAATATTATACTTTTTGTGAGAGCTGTGGTAACTTAGGGGCTTACTGCACCGTTGCACCGTTTCACATTTGCCTGGTCGCGACCCGGTACCGGGCCATCAAAATAAAATACGATTCGCAACATTCGCGCATGACTACAACTACTATTTTACCTTAAAAATAAATATGGAAACCAACTTGAAGTGGAACCAGACCTTAGAATAAAACTTTCGTCATTTTCCGCGAACTTCTATTCTTTAGTGAAAAATAAGCAGCAGCTCCATACGTCGCATTGAAATTTAGTGACTAAATAGGCGATACCAAAATATGTAGTATTGAATAAAACGTTTTTACTATTAACAAAGGTGTATTATTTTATATAATTGCTTGGGTTTAAAAGTATTAAGTGAGTCACGAAGGGGCAGCGTAAAAATTACCGGGGCAAGGCAAAACAGTGTTTGGGTAACACTGGCTTAATGCAAATATACACCTGAAATTGACAAAAATTGAAACATCGTGAATAAACCTGCATGTCTGAGAAATTAAAAAAAATTAAGACTATATTTGAAGTCAGCCAACACTCACTAACATTTTCTTGATCTGAATAGGCTGACTGTAACTTTACTTCTAATTTGTTATATAAACGTGTTTCCTGAGAAGAGCCAGGAAGAAACCCAACGAAATGAATTGTTCAAACTTTAAATTATACAATATCTCTCCTACCTATATATATATATACAACTGTAAAAATCAAGCCTCTCTCAAGTGCTTCTCTTCTCTTCTCTTCTTTTTCTGGAATTGTAGGACAATTATAGTAAAAATTAGAAGACACTTCAAAATAATTTTCATATACGAGTCTTGATTTTTACAATTATATATATATATTATTTTTTATATTTTGAAGTGTCTTCTAATTTTTACAGTTTTCCTAATATTCCAGAAAGAGAAGGGAAGAAAAGCACTTACAAGTGCATACAGTAAAAACCATTATCCCTTTCTGAAATTGTAAAAATTAGCAGACACTTCAAAATAATTTTCACATAAGAGGCCTGATTTTTTCCCTAAAAACCACTCAAATATAATAAGTAAGGTCTAAGACGTGTATAAGCTATATCCTAAAGCAAGGACTTATAACTCTGCTTATTTTACAGGTAAAGAATTGTACAGTCCCGAAGCTGATGCACATGGTGGGGACGCTGCGAATACTGGTCCTCCAAAAGTTAGTTCCAGGACTAACTCTTTCGAGATCGAAAACCTTCTCAAGGTAATTTATCATCTTTGCATTGTTCCTACGAAAAGTTTTAGTTATTAATTTTTCGTTGTTATATATTATAATCTTTCAAAAATCCACAGCTTAATATAGACTTTTTCCGTAGATTGCCTCAGAACCAGCTCCATTTATGTTATAATTGTAGCACGAACGGGTCTGTTCGACCGGGGTAGAACCAGGCTCTCACAGAATATAAGCGTTAAGTAGCAGCTTAATGCTGTTGTCTTAACTATGGTGAGTACAGAAAACCGGAAGCCGTTAAACATTCTTATCTTAGTTTTTGGAGGCAAAAGATATTTAAAATTTCTTAATATTTCAAAATTTTATATTTCCTAGTAGCTTATTAGATATTTTAAATGCCATACAAAAACAACTTACTTTTACTGTATATTTAAAAATTTTGTTTTGGTACACATATTTGTCATTAAATCTTTTAAGACTATATTTTCGATTTATGTCGCCTCTCTTTTTTGTTAAAAATAAATTTGAATAACTTTTTATATAAAAACTCGTTTGTGGTATACACATACATGGTAGCGGTAAATTTCTAAGCTTCTTAGAAATAATGTACAATTCTCAAAAATTAGCTTCGTACAATGCTCTTACATAATTCTTTTGTATTATTTTAATAAACGACGTTGACAAACGAACACATAGTCTACCTGGTGGACATTTTATCCTGTGGCACATAGACACGTTTAACTATATTTTTATTGAAGCACTTAATTAACATAGGCATTGTCATAAAATGCATCATCAAATCCTCCTACTACTCTATGATATGTAACTACCATGATCTCTGCAAATAATAGTAAAGTAATTTCTTTTCTTTTTACCGACATATGCAGCAATGAAGTTGGCATTGATTTCCTTCGTATCCCATCGGATCGACGCTCTATTTCTACCCTCGATTAAGAATAAAAATATAAATGCGTTGTCACCCAGGACTAAGATAAAATACTTCGTTGCCAGTAAAAAGAGTCTCCAGTTCACTACAAGCACCATATAAAATGTTACTATTAATCTGCTAATTAACGCTCGTATTCTGTGAGAGCGGGATTCTTCCCATATCATATCATAATGCAACCATAATATAACTATAATATATAACAAATATTCTGCACAGATGAAATTTATACAAATAACCAGCCCATATCGTAAAATTGCACATGCCCATAAGAAGCAATAATAGATGTTACTTAAGAATTTATAAATTTTACTAGTCTCAAAGCAAAAACGAATTCTCCAGATAATTTCATAACATAAATGTGGTATGCAAGATGATGTTGTGACCAGAATTAAGAAAGGAATGCTTCGGTGGTTTGGTCATGTAGAAAGAATGAATGAGGAAAGAGTGACAAAGCAAATTTATATGGCAGATGTGAATGGCAGAGTCGGGAAGGGACGCCCTAGAAAAAAGCTTATCGACCAAATTGGCGATATTTTGAAAATGGGCCACGTTAGAAGTACCCTTAACCGATGAGCATGTATGCGTAGATATATGGATGTAAAGGAGGCGAAAGAGGTGTGTCAGAATCGTGCCAAATGGAAGTCCGTAGTCTCTGCCTACCCCTCTGGGTGACAGGCGTGAGTGTTATGTAATTTCATAACACGATCTTTCCAGTTTAAATCTTAGTCAAGGAAGGCCTTAAAAGCTAATCGGATTTACACGTAATATTATTTTTTGATACCTTTTATAAATCACGTTAAATTATATTTATATTCTTTTTATATTAATGTATGATATTTTATATATGATAAATAAATATATAAAATAGGGATAACAAACGAACATACAGCCCATCTGATAGAAAGAGGATGATGTGTCTCAAAGACATGTACATCTATTCGCGATTAAAAATCAAAATGCAGATGCGTTATCACCCCTGAGAACTAAAATTAAATGCCTCGTATCTAGTAAAAGGTTCTCAGACTCTCTACATTCATCATACAAAACATAGCAGCACTGAGCTGCTATTTTACGCTGGTATTCTGTGAGAGTGTGATCCTTCTCCGATCAAGACGACCCATTCGTGCTACAATTATACAATATGCTGCAGCATGACTCTACCTCGTATAGGCAAGTCGATTCGCCTTTTGATTTTCGCGCGGCGGTTTATTAATTATAGCGGTTGCCATGCCTGATTCGTCGGCTTAGAAATCGACGACCCTTGCCAGCGAGCTTGAGTAAACCTCGCCGGTTGGTCAGAGTATTAAGAACAAAAATAAAGAAAAACCCCTTTAAACTACAACTAAAAATAAAAATCTATCTACTCTACCGGAAGTATTATCCACTTCAAAATTTAGTCAATTTGGATATTTTAGACTATAAAAACTTAAAATAAAAAGTTTAAGAAAAAACTACTACTCACTAATACATTAAATATAAGTTTTTTGTATGCCCAGACCTCGTTTTATTAAAAAATATACAAATGATATTGCACAACGTAACTTTAGATTCAATCATCCCGGATGAAGCTCCTGTAAAGTGTAATCCGTTTAAAAATTAATAGCGACCCTTCCCCACATCGCTCAGAGGTAATTTTTAGCATAGTCAAATCCCTTTTATAGTATTACATTAACATTGGCTAGCTTTTTAAAATATTATAAGTATTTAAGCTTCTATTACACTGGCTCTACTACAGATAACTATAAACACTGGATGTACTGCTGTTTTAGCAGAAGAAATAATTTACTGTCCAAACGGTAGACAAAAGTACCCCTGCCATGTAAAGTGTACAAATTGCTTTCTTTAATATAATTTTGATTAGAAATATAAATAATTATAATTTTTATGAGCATATTGCGAACAATATAAGTAGTTAATGAAATAAAAAATATGATTGAAAGTTGTTGCCGAAAATGTACTAGGTATATTTATTTATGAAGGGAACCGTACGATTTTTGAGCAGGTAGCGGGCGCGAATAAGTACGTTTAGGTATAGAGAGAAATTTCAGGGGTTGCCTGAGTTAAACCCTGCTGATGTAAACCTAATTCATGGTATAAATTATTAGTAATTGCATTGCATTTTAATGAACATAAATTCCCGACTTCATTTAAAGTGTTTTTTATAACGAAATCTTTAAGAGCTTTTTACGCTTAGTTAGAAAGCTGAGTCTGACATCTGAAGTATCAGATGTCAGACTCAGCTATTTTTGTCATACTATTATAACAATACGTGATTCTACTATATCACACTTAGTTGTCCTTAATAAACCATTCGTCGAATTAATTTTTGGTTTTGCATGTACTAAAACTTCTTCGGTATTTTAATCACTCTTTACCACTTTTCCCGATATGGTATATAACAGCTCGTCGGTTACGAAAATTATAAGAACTGTATTCACACGAATACAAAAAGACGCTATAATATGTTTTATACAATTATATGTCTGAGATAAATCAATAAGTTATCACCACAACGTCTTGGCGTACTAGACTTGTTTAATATTTGTTTTTTCTTTTTTCAATCTAATATGTACGAAAATATCTTTGATAAAAACTTCATTAGAAGTAAAGAATTCGACTATATACCACTAATTATTTGTCTACGTATTTGAATCGGACTAGGTAACGTAAATAAAGTAAACTAAAGTAAACTGATAGCATCATTAAACAGGCTATCGCCAATACTGTCCTTACAACTATAGTATTTACTACGTTTATAGTTATTACGTTTTCTTTTCATCATAGACTAAAATCGTAGGAAAATATGAATATATATATATATATACACATCCCAGGTGGACGCAAATATTTTCCCAAAAAATCACTCGCTATTGATACAAATTTGCTACGATAGAAAACTCATTCTCTATGGGCCAATTATAACAAAATTACATTAAAATGCCAGAGCGCAGAACAAGTGACGGGTTGGTGCCGGTCTCCGTCGGACACCCGCCGCGGGAGCCCCACAGGTAGCCTCGCTAGTGCCGCTGCCGGTACACCCTCGCGACATCTATCCGATGCTGACAAACTGCGAAAGGTGCTCCTGGAACTCGTTGACACAGAACGAGCTTATGTCAAGGTTGGTTTCTAAAATATTATCAATTTAATATTTATTTTTGTAATATAAAAGGGACAAACAAGCTAACAATCCTGTGATAGTGAACCGCAGACAATAGCTCATCATCATCATTAAAATACTGCCTTATTGTCAACTAAACACTGATATAAATTATCGCGGGGGCTACACTACACCTCTCACCGATAAAACAAAAAAATGAATACATTTTTATTTATTTTTTTATATAAAATTATAGAAATAAGATCTCTATAAAGTATACCTAATAATTACATAAATCCAGACAAGTATATTCTATGAGTAGGTCGGGTGGCCAGATTCCCCTGTCCCATTTAATGTCGAAGTCAGAATCTTGTACATAATTTCATCATAGGTTATTAATGGTAAACGTCTACATACGTTTTAATATTTCCATTTAAAAAAATCCACATGATAGTTGTAGTGCATTTTTACTCAGAAGGTCGCCATGTAATATAGGAAAGGAGTTAATGAAAAGGATTTTTTTTATTATTATTAAAAGAATATTAACAATGCTATAAACATTACTAATATTCCCCTTAACCACTCGTGGTAAGCTTAAATTACTTGTGTTACGAGTGGTTCACGCCAGTAGTCGAATGGTTCTTTGGAATGGACCTTTTTGAGTTGGCGGTCCGCGCCCTGCCATTAGGCTACTGTCACTTGTGTTAGGAGACGTGTTGCTCTTGCTATGACTTTAATTATACTGCCTTATTATGAACACTGATATAAATTATCGTAGAGGCTACGCTTCACCTATTCCAGCTGTCAAATAGCAGTGCTGTGTTACAGTACAAAGTATATAGAAGCCAGTTTAATTACAGGCTGAGACATTCCTTCTTAAGCCTGGCGTCGACTACAGTCGACGTAGTCGAATTGAAGCGAGTCGCATTTATTCCTAGTGCGTCAATCTCTGAAGAATCGAATCGAATTGTTCATTTATCGCAAACTCTTCATCAAATAAGGTTTCGTTTTTGGGTCATGTACAGCTCGGATGAAGAGAATTTTCATTTCAAATACTTTTTGATGAAGAGGATAAAAGAAAAAGGAAACGGCGTGCTCCCAAATACTGGATACACGATATTTATATGAAAGGGATCCTGTTTAATTATTTCATTATTTTTGTTTATCCTATAAAAATTTTAAGTTTTGCCAGACTTGACGGCAAAACTTAAAAAACAGACGGACTTTGTAAAGAAATTACAAGATTCAGTGATGAAGAAATTAATAAAAATACCTTTCGCGCGCATCCATTTCTCCGCGTCGACCGAGGCGTGCCGAGTTGAATCGAATCGCATCGGCAAAGAAATTCACCTGTCAAGCTATTCGCGCGGTCGATTCAATTCGGAGCGCCGCGGCTCGTCGCTAATGGACGCGGTTTTATAGTAATTATATATAGGAGGGAACTTTCTGAGATTCGATTCGTCTCGGCTCGGCGAGCCTAGTGGACGCGGGCCTTTCATCCCTCAGGGGTGACAGCGCAACCGTAACCTACTGTATTTGAAGTTGACAACTTGTAGTACACCTTTCAGACGGAAACACAACTGTGCTCGTTCTACTATTTGGCGCAAAAAATAGCTTAGAGGAAGGAGCCCATCCAGATAGATTCCAGACAGAAATGAAGTTTAAAGGTGTTCTACGCTAGAGGAGCCAAGCTCGAGCGAAGCACGAGCCGAGCACAAATTCGTGTAGTGTGGACCAACTTAAGGTCACAGCTCATTAGAGCCACCCGGCACCCAACCCTCACCGCCTCGTCGCCAGGCGTCTACTCGTAGTCGACAGGTGGACCACGGGTGGACGCCGCGTTGTCACCAGTGAACCTCGCGTGGTCATCGAGTGGACCTCGCATCGTCAACGAGTGGACCTCTCGTGGTTAACGAGTGACCCTTAAATCATACCATAAATTATACTTCCGAACTTCTTCTATAAGTGTTTCTTTGTTCATTTTAAAAACAAAGAACAATGCGTCCGACACATTCGAAATAAAGGCTTGAAATAAAGGGTTGGTGGAGAGCGCCGCATCGCACTCGCGTGAACCGCGCGTTGCCAGGTCGCGCTTCACGCGAGGCAAGCATGCCAGCAGCGAGCTATCATGGAGTGGTCCACTCCCAGTCCGCTCGTGGACACCTCGCGAGCGAGGCGATCCGGTGATGGTACCGAGTTGATGTAGTGAGCGCAGACTCATACGAATCCATACGAAGAATACGAACCGATCGAGACGAGGCGGTGAGGGTCGGGTGCCGGGTGGCTCTAATGAGCTGTGACCTTTACAAGCCTCGAACGAGTGCGCTTCGAGCGTTTGGTTTGTCCTCGACTGTGCTCAGCCTATTATCGGTTTTCCAACGAACACAAAGGCGACACAGTGTGATTGTTGTAGGTTCGTTGTACATCCACACTTGGTACCACGAGTAGAGCGACTCGGTTTGTGCTCAGTTCGTTTACAACCTGTAAAACTACTACATGTTTTAATCCTAAACAACATTAGTGGTGTACTATATTCTATGTAAGATTTTTGTTACTATTGTTGCGCGCCTAAGTTGACGTCATGTACCCGGCACTAGCGCTATCTAGTGTCGGGTACGAGAGCGAGGAGAGCTTTCCAGAAAATAACATGACTAATCTTTTAACCAACAGGGCTATCTAGTATCGAATTGAAGAACTAAGCTTTCTAGAAGCCTCACGCTCGAACTTTCTGCGTCTAGTCGGTCGGCGCCGGCGCCTACGGGAATATTCTGGATGTTTCGGTGAAAATGCGTATTTAAAGGCGCTGCAATACGCGATCGGGGCAGTATTGAATTTGGCGAGACAAGCGAAGCTGCGGAGCGAAATAAAGTGAATCAGTGTGATTAATTATTAGTGTCTTTTAAGTTTTAATTAGTGTAAAGTGAATTAAAGTGTTAATTTTGGTAATTCTATCGGCAATTTTTATTGTCACGAACTCTAAGCTCGTAAAAATTGGTATCAGAAGTGGGATAAAATCATGCCGATTTTACCTAAGGAGGAAACGGACGGTGTCCGTACCCAAAGTCAACGCCAGCAGGAGACGGACCAAAGAAGATTTGGTGGTGCAACGCCGCAACGTCGGAGGGCCTGCCGCCGGCTGCATGCCCGTCAGTAGCTCTTACATCTGCAGCACCCGACTTAGGTGCTCTGATGGTGATGCTGCAGGAGCAGGCTCGCCGACAGGAGGAACAGGTCCGTCAGTTGAAAGAGCAGCTGCGGAGCGAACAGGAGGAACAGGTCCGCCGTTTGGAAGAGCAACTGCGGGGCGGACAAGAGGAACAGGCCCGTCGTTTGGAAGAGCAGCTGCGGGGCGGGCAAGAGGAACAGGCCCGTCGTTTAGAAAAGCAGCTGCGGGGCGGACAAGAGGAACAGGCCCGTCGTTTGAAAGAGCAGCTGCGGGGCGGACAAGAGGAACAGGCTCGTCGGTTGGAAGAGCAGCTGCGGGGCGGGCAAGAGGAACAGGCCCGTCGTTTGGAAGAGTAGCTGCGGGGCGGACAAGAGGAACAGGCCCGTCGTTTGGAAGAGCAGCTGCGGGGCGGGCAAGAGGAACAGGCTCGTCGTTTGGAAGAGCAGCTGCGGGGCGGACAAGAGGAACAGGCCCGTCGTTTGGAAGAGCAGCTGCGGGGCGGGCAAGAGGAACAGGCCCGTCGTTTGGAAGAGCAGCTGCGGGGCGGACAAGAGGAACAGGCCCGTCGGTTGGAAGAGCAGATGCTCCTCATGAAGGACCTTCACGCTACCTTCGGAAAGGAGATAAAGGAGGTGAAGGATAGGGTTGCTCAGCATGACAACCGCCTGTCGGAAGCTGAAACCCAAATCGCGAAAGCTGAAACCCGAATCGAAAAAGCTGAAACCAGAATCGACCAAGTGAACAATCGGGTTGACAACGTGATGGCTGACGTGAAGAAAACGCTGGACGACCTCAAACTGGGGGATAGAATTACAGCTCCCGTAGTAGCTACAACACCTTCGCTACGTGGGTTCAAAGTGGCGCCGTTCAACGGGACTTCTTCCTTGTCAGCCTACAAAATCCAGTTCGAGGCTGTCATGGAGGCGAATGGCTGGAATAAAAACCAGGCCATGACTGCTCTCACACTAGGCCTGCGCGACCAGGCCTTAACTAAATATTTTTTTTATAATTCCCCAAATGCTCCAACACGTCACAGGGGGCCAAAGCCCAGCCTAAACGGCATATAAAAAACAACCTTTTTTAATTTAATAAAGAAAAAAAAAAAAAAATACCAACACAACCACATAAAAAAAAATAAATATTAAAAAAAAAAAATAAAAACAACAAAATTTTTTTAAAAAACCCAAAAAAAAAAAGTTAATTGTTAAAAGTTAACTGGAAGCTCTCGGTGAGGAAGTGACTTATGAGCAATTCCTTGAGGCATTGGAGGCGAGATATGGCGACGCTCACCTGGAACACTTTTTTAAAGATCGCGTGCAGCGCATCAACCAAAACCTGCAGCAGTGGGCTCTAGAGGTAGAGAAGCTTGTGCGAAAAGCATACCGGTATGTACCTGCGCTCATTGAAGGGAACCTGGTGCAGACATTCATCGACGCCATCCGTTACCTGGAAGTCAGAGCTGCTGCGAGGCTCGGGCACCACAAGACGCTTAAGGACGCCTTGGCCCATGCACTGGATGTGGAAGCCGTGCGGCAGGATCATCGTTCCCATCGCGTCAGGGAGGTTGCAGCAGCTACAGTTCGCGACCGCAACAAAGGATACAGCCCTAAGTGCTATGGCTGTGGGGAAAGGGGCCATCTTCGATCCAGCTGCCCTAAACAAACTGTAGAAACGGAAGTTGATCGATCTCGAGAGGATAGTGCGGCTAACGGCACCGCCTGGCGGTGGCAGGATCATAGTTCCCCTCACGCTAGGGAGGTTGCAGCAGTTACGGTTCGCGATCACAATAATGGATACAGCCCTAGGTGCTATGGCTGTGGGGAAAGGGGCCATCTTCGATCCAGCTGCCCTAAGCGAATCCTAGAAAGGGAAAGTGAACGATCTCAGAAGGCCACAGCCCCACAGCAGAATTACGACTTTACTATCAGATATTGCAGTGGGAAATCTCATGGCAACGCAGATGCATTGTCAAGAAGACCTTGTCCTGAAGACGACGAGTGGAAGGACATCCTACGACATGCACAGCTGGAAGATCCGGACATCAAGCCGATTCTGGAATGGATGAAGGCCCGTGCTACCAAGCCTAAGTGGAGCGACGTCACAGCGATGAGTTTGACCACTAGAAGCTATTGGGCCCAATGGGACAGCTTGCTGATTCAGGATAGAGTCCTGTGCCGTAAATGGGACAATGGTCGAGGCTACAGCTGTCGTTTGCAAATGGTTGTCCCTAAAGCTAAAGTACCGAATGTTCTACAGCTGCACCATAATGGTTGTTCAGGAGTCCATCTGGGAGTTAAACGAACTCTACTAAAGATCCGAGAACAGTTTTACTGGGTCCATTATCGTGACGATGTCGAGGATTGGTGTCGCACATGTACAAGTTGTGCGGCTGTGAGGGGACCTCAGACACGTAGTAGAATCAGTGTGATTAATTATTAGTGTCTTTTAAGTTTTAAATTGTGTAAAGTGAATTAAAGTGTTAATTTTGGTAATTCTATCGGCAATTTTGCCGTGTAGTGGCGGTTAAGAATATCCACTACCCCATATCTTCCCGTGGGTGTCGTAAGAGGCGACAGAGGGAGACAGGCAGGAGATGGGCAGCAGCGTCTTCCTGATGACAACTGTGACGTAATAAAAAACTGCGGTTGCCAACCCGCTCGCCAAGCGTGGCAACTATGGCAAATACCCCCCAATGAACAAATACACAAACAGACGGCCCCCAGTCCCCGGCGGCCCCGCTATTCCTGGCTACGGTGGCGACCATGGTAACGGCGGGGCAGGGGGTGCTAAGAATCTCCGGTGGAGGTTCGGTTGCCACCTACGACGACTCGACCTGGCAACATATAACGCACGTACCCTGAGGACTGACGAGAAGATACTGGAGCTGGAAGAAGAGGTAGACAAGTTGCGCTGGCATATTATTGGATTATCCGAGGTCCGAAGAGAGGGGGAGGACACGACAATCCTCGAGTCCGGCAACTTGTTCTATCACCGGGAGGGCGACCATCTGTCCCAAGGAGGTGTCGGATTTATCGTCCACAAATCTCTCGTCAACAACGTTGTAAAGATTGGGAGTGTGTCGACGAGGGTCGCGTACCTGATACTCAGAATCACCAAACGGTATTCGCTGAAGGTCATTCAGGTTTACGCACCAACCTCGGCACATCCCGATGAGGAGGTGGAGGAAATGTATGAGGATATTTCCAGAGCCATACATTCCTCCAGAACCTACTACACGGTGTTGATGGGAGACTTCAACGCAAAACTGGGCACAAGAGAAAGCGGTGAGCTGAAGGTAGGGAAATTTGGAGTAGGGCAACGGAACCGAAGGGGCCAGCAGCTGGCCGACTTTATGGAGAAAGAGGGACTCTTTATGATGAACTCTTTCTTCCAGAAGCGGCCCCACAGGAAGTGGACCTGGTCGAGCCCCGACGGTTCGACAAAAAATGAGATTGACTTCATTATGACGACCAGACGCCAACTGTTCAGTGATGTCTCAGTGATCGCAAGGGTGAAAACTGGCAGCGATCACCGAATAGTTAGAGGCACACTGAACCTAAACGTTAGGTTGGAGAGGTCTCGTCTAATGAAGTCAACGCTCCGTCCCCCTCGTGCTCTGATCCAGAATCCCGAAACCTTTCAGCTCGAGTTACGTAACCGCTTCCAGTGCCTAGAAGATTGCAATGCAGTGGACGATATGAACGACAAGCTCGTGGAAACTGTCCATGCGGTCGGAGCTAAATTCTGTAAGACCCGCCGCAGAAGAACACAAAAACTCTCCGATCACACTCTTAATCTCATGGCTGTTAGACGGGAGATGAGGCTGCAATCGTCAACAGATTTGACAGCATACAGGCAACTGAACAGACAGATCTCCAAATGCATACGGCGAGACTTACGCAACTTTAATACTTCTCGTATTAAAGAAGCGATCGAGCGGAACCAGGGCTCCAAAGTCTTTGCCAGAGATCTGTCTGCCAGAACGAGCCAACTGTCAAGGCTGAACACTGAGTGTGGCAACATCGTTTCCGGGACACCTGAGATTTTGAGTGAGATTGAGAGGTTCTATGGGCAGCTGTACACATCATCGTTGGAGCCACACGCAAGTGTGAGTAACGATCCAAGAGCAAGTCTTATCCGACACTATTCCGATGATATCCCGGACGTCAGTCTAGAGCGAGATTAGAATGGCTCTCCAGCACCTTAAAAACGGCAGGGCCCCAGGCGAGGATGGAATTACAGCGGAGCTTCTGAAAGCGGGTGGAACACCGGTACTTGAAGTCCTTCAGAAGCTCTTCAATTCCGTCCTCCATGGTGGCACTACTCCAGAGGCGTGGAGCAGAAGTGCGGTGGTCTTGTTCTTTAAGAAAGGCGACAACGCTCTCTTAAAGAACTACAGACCGATTTCCCTTCTGAGCCGCGTCTACGTGCTGTTTTCGAGAGTCATTACGAATCGTCTCGCACGCAGACTTGACGACTTCCAGCCTCCCGAACAAGCCGGTTTCCGAAAAGGCTTCAGTACCATAGACCACATACATACCCTGCGGCAGATTGTACAGAAGACTGAAGAGTACAATCTGCCACTTTGCCTGGCGTATGTGGACTATGAGAAAGCCTTTGATTCCGTCGAAATTTGGGCGGTGCTACAGTCCCTTCAGCGGTGCCAAGTTGACTGTCGGTATATCGAAGTGCTGAAGTGTTTGTACAGTAGGGCTACGATGGCTATCCGAGTACAGAACCAGAGCTCGAAACCTATCCAACTGCAGAGAGGTGTAAGACAGGGTGACGTTATATCCCCGAAACTCTTCACCGCTGCATTGGAAGACGTTTTCAAGCTACTGGACTGGAAAGGATACGGTATTGACATCAATGGCGAGTACATCACTCACCTTCGATTTGCCGACGATATAGTCCTTATGGCAGAATCGCTGGAGGACTTAAGCACTATGCTCAATGACCTCAATAGTGCCTCCCAACGGATAGGTCTTAAGATGAACATGGACAAAACAAAGATCATGTTCAATGTCCATGTCACACCTATGCCGGTAGTTGTTGGGAGCACTATGCTCGAAGTTGTTGACGAATACGTTTACCTGGGACAAATAGTCCGACTAGGTAAGTCCAACTTCGACCGAGAGGTCAATCGACGGATTCAACTCGGCTGGGCAGCGTTCGGGAAATTACGGCATATCTTTTCGTCAGGTATACCTCAATCTCTAAAAACTAGATTGTACAACCAGTGCGCGTTGCCAGTGATGACTTACGGATCTGAGACGTGGTCCTTCACTGCTGGCCGTATGAGGACGCTTAAGGTCGCTCAGCGAGCTATGGAGAGGGCTATGCTCGGAGTTTCTCTGCGTGATAGGCTCAGAAATGAGGATATCCGCAGTAAAACCGGAGTGACCGACATAGCCCAACGGATTAGTAAGCTGAAGTGGCAATGGGCCGGCCATATAGCTCGAAGAACCGATAACCGATGGGGAAGAAAGGTTCTCGAGTGGCAGCCTCGTACCGGTAGGCGTAGTGTAGGGCGACCCCCCACTAGATGGAGTGACGACCTGGTAAGACATGCAGGAAGTCGATGGATGCAGGTGGCTCAGGACCGTGCTTTGTGGCATTACTTAGGGGAGGCCTATGTTCAGCAGTGGACTTGTGAAGGGCTGTAATGATGATGATGATGATCGGCAATTTTTATTGTCACGAACCCTAAGCTCGTAACACTATGTTACATGATGTTATTAATTGATAACACTGAATATATCTACGCTAGCTGTATTGTATTTGTCTATCTAGCTGTATTAATTGGTCCATACATACGTATACCTTTATTTTCTCCCTGGATAATGGACCTTAGAGCAAATAATATTTAAAATACAATCTTTAACTGTTCTTGTGTTTATTTTTTCATAAATTATTTTAACAACTAGGAACCTGTTATAATCACTAAAACTACCTAGTTATAATGCCATGTAATATCATGCCGCCCAGAAAAGTTAGTTAAAATTACAACGCTCTGACAACTTACTCATGACCATGTACAATCTTAGATATCAATACTTCATTAATTATTCTTAATATTGTTTACCATTTTTACAGCACCTTAACAATTTATTGGAAAATTATTTGGAGCCTTTAAAGAAGGAAACTTTTTTATCAAATGCCGAGATCAATGCTCTGTTTGGAAACATTCAAGAAATCGTTACTTTCCAAAGGCAATTCTTGCAAAATCTTGAGGAAGCCCTGGAGGCTGAGCCGAACTTTCATCATTTCGAATTTTCAAATCAATTCAAGGTATCTTTATAGGCTTCTATTTTATTTTAATTAATATTATTAAATTTATAAATATATTTTATTCATAAATTTTAATTAATGCTTACTAATTATATTTCAGAATGTACTCTTCGCTGTTGGAAACGCGTTCCTCTATTACGTCAATCATTTCAAATTGTACAGTTCGTTCTGCGCTAGTCACAGCAAAGCACAGAAAGTTCTACATCCAAGTAAGTCACTTTGAGTTACTGTATAGTATATTATTTTTAGAATATTACACAATAAATAGTAATCCGCAATGATCAATTAAAATCGTTTATGTCCCCTATAAAAATTAATTACGAACAAAAACTTCAACAGTATTAAATAATTATAAAGTTAATGGATGGTTCCGATTAGCAAATTAAAATAAATTAAAATTTATAATATAATCATATATAATGTAACAACCTATATTTGTAAGGTTTTATAGCCTGGGAGAGTTCGCCGTGTTACCGTGTTGGTCGAAGTAAACATGACTTCAAAATATTTAACTATTTTCCGAATCGTTCAGGTTTTCCCACCATGTTCTACTTCATCGCTGAGCATAATGTATACACCAACGCTGTAAATCACAATTTCAGTGGTGCCACCACAATTCGAACACTGTTTGCAAGATTACTATGAAGTTTTAAATGTATTTTCATCCGTGCTTAAACACATAGCAAATATAAATCGTTACATTGTCAGTAGATAGAAAAAAAAATACTCGTATTAAAATAAAGTATATTCATGTACCAGATGAAGGCAATCAAGCATTACAAGAATTCCTAGCGGCGCGTAATCCCAAGCAACAACATTCGTCGACTTTGGAGTCATACTTAATCAAGCCGATTCAGCGAATACTCAAGTATCCGCTACTCCTGCAACAATTGCGAAATTTAACTGATGTAAATTCCGAAGAGCACCTCCATTTAGTGGGTAAGATATAAATTTATCTAAGCGACTGTTTAACTAATGTTTATTATTATCCTTTTCATTTGAAGGTTACAAACGAGCACATAGTCTAAGTGGATACTGTGGCCCATAGATATCTACATTTATCTTCATTTAAAAATCAATATGCATATGCGTTGCCAGCCCTGAGGACTGAGATGAAATGCCTCATTTCCAGTAAAAAGGGTCTCCGGTTCTCTACACTCGCCATACGAAACATAGCAGCATTAAGCTGCTATTTTACGCTGGAATTCTGTGAGAGCGCGGACCTACCCCGGTCCAGCCGACCCATTCGTGCTGCAACCACAATATAGCTGCAGCGTGGCTCTACCGCCATAATTTTATTTTTTTAAGTGAGAGTTAAAGAGCACACAGTCCATCTGTTGGTGAGTGGGAGTCAGGTCTAATAGATACTAACATCTATTCTCAATTTAGAATTAAAATGCAAGCGCATTTGCCACAATACTACTAGTCCTAGTATCCTAGTACTAGGCTGCACTAAAAGTATCGGGAATGGAATATTTCCACTGTTCCTGTCATATTAAAATCTTTTTAATTGAAAACTCCACAAACTCTTGGTTTTAAAAATCGAATACATCGACATGTGACATAACGCGAAATTCAGGCAACTTTAGACATTGGCATGAGTTAAATACAAATAATCTTGCATGAATAATTAGGTGTAAAAAAAGTTGTTTTCCCGATGGATACCGCATTCGCTCTGTGAAGAGCAAAAAGCGGCTCGCGTTACTTGGTGCTCAAATGCTGTATACAACATCGTATCAGGTGACGAATCCTGGATATACACGTACGAACCCGAAACAAAAAACCAGTCACGAGTTTGGGTGTTCGAAAATGAGTTAAAGCCACCAACAAAACTTGTTCGTTCACGGAGTGTTAATAATCAAAATAAATGGTGGCCACGTTAGTCTCCAAAACCAGCCATGTTACGACTATTCCTCTTGAGGGACAAAGAACGATTAATGCTGATTGGTATGCTAGCATTTGTTTGCCACAGGTCGTTTTTGAACTCCGTAAAGAGAACTGCAACCGCCGCATCATCCTCCATCACGACAATGCGAGTTCTCACACCGCACACAGAACAAAAGAGTTTTTAGAGCAAGAAAACATAGAATTATTAGACCATCCGCATACAACCCTGACCTAAGTCCTAATGATTTCTATACTTTCCCTAAAATAAAGAATAAATTCCGTGGACAGAGATTTTCATCACCTGAAGAAGCTGTGGACGCCTACAAAACGGCCATTTTGGAGACCCCAACTTCTGAATGGAATGGTTGCTTCAATGATTGGTTCCATTGTATGGAAAAATTTGTCAAATTTCGCGGAGAATACTTTGAAAACCAATATATTACAATATAAAATAAATACATTTTTAAATAGTCATGTTTTGTCACTTCCTTGATTACCGAAATTTTCAGTTTCGCCCTCGTATCTTACTTATATAGTAATATACGATCATAACATTATTCAAAATATTTATAATAATTATAGATTTATGCTATTATTGTATGTTGCAGAGGCATTGAAAGGTATGGAAAAGGTGGCTGAACATATAAATGAAATGCAACGAATCCATGAAGAATATGGGGCTATATTCGACCACTTATTTAGGCAACACCAAAAATCTTGCAAACAACCTATAGATCTAAGCCCAGGTAAATTATCATACAATTATTAAAACTATCACCATTGTAAAACACGTGACTTTAATGTTTTAAATGTTTTCAGGTGATTTGTTATACTACGGTGGTGTAGAGTGGTTAAATATTTCAGACTTCTTAGGAAAAATTAAAAAAGGATTAGAATTACACGCCATGTGTTTTGTTTTTAAATCTGCTGTGGTCTTCCTATGTAAAGAAAGACTGAGACAAAAGAAAAAATTGATGGTAAGCTATTGCATATAGTACAGTATATATTCTCATTATTCTAGCATATTATATAATATTAATATTTAATTCTTATAATAATTAGAAAAAACTAAAGCTATAGATATTATACAGGCTATAATTATTACCCATCAAAGCAATTTCCACCGGTATTGGACACAGTTCCTTTTAAAATTTCATCACGCGTGGAATCCACGGACCGATGGTGTCTATAAAATAGCACTATTAATGTAATTTCTTAAGTACTCAAATTTCCGCCATTTATTTAGGTTCAGTCACCTCTGATACCATCTTAGTTCTTAACATATTCTCTCGTCCGTTTAGGTTAATAGAATATGAATTCTTAATCAAATTTTGGCAAAATTATTATTTGTGTATAATATTTGACAATCGGACTCGAAAGACTTGGATTTCTATTTCAGGGTGTATCATCGAAGAACAATTCGAACGAGGTGGAAATAATAAGATATCAAGTTCTTATACCGGTGACGGAGGTTCAAGTGCGTGCCTCTTCGGCTAAAGACATGGACAGCCACTTCCTCTGGGAACTAATACACCTGCGAAGTCAACTGCAGCGTCGCTCCGAAAAAGTCTATGTACTGTCAAACAGGTAATTTAACCAACGAAAGAATCTTTCCATACACAAAATTATAGAATTACATATATAAAAGTGTCTTTAAACAAACTCCTTAAATGTGAAGTATTAAAATATTTTTTTCAATACATAAAATAACAAACCGGCATGCAGTCCCCTTACGGTATGTGGATCCGATAATAATCATTAGCATTTCGTCCTCCGTTTTTGTCACTCCTAGAAACTATGATGGTATGACTCATTACTATTGAAAAAATACTCCGGTTATCACATTAAGAAATACAGCAGCAATACACAGTATTATAAGTTGTTTAGTCACAAGAGATTAGTTTAAAAACCAATTTATTTATTTTTACTAGCCAGAATGTGGATGAATTAACTCCCCGTCTACATTACTACTTTTTTAAAGTAATTTGGTTTTGCTTTTTTAAATACATAACGTTATTATAAACACCAATTTTAATTATTATATTTGAAAATATTGTAGAGCAAGCTATATCACAGTTATCACGTTTAGTACGCTCAGCTCAGTCGGACGGCACGGTCGGCTCGATCGGGGTAGGAATACCTCTTATAGAATACTAGCGTAAAACATCAGCTTACTGCTGCTGTGTTTCGTATGGTGAGTATAGACAACCGGAGACCCGTTTTACTGGAAACGAGGCATTCATCTTAGTGTTGAGGGGTGACAACTCATGTGCATTTTGATTCTTAATCGAGGTTAACTGTAGATGTCTCTGGGCCGCAGCATCTTCTTACCATCACGTGGACTTTGTGCTTGTTTGTCACCGATATACTATAAAAAACAGTCCGCTGCTGAACATAGACCTCCCCTAGATCACCACAAAGTACGATCCTGAGCCACCTACATCCATTGACTACCTGCTTGTTTCATGAGGTCATCATATCATCCGGTGCGGGCTCGTGCACGGCGATTGACAATACGCGCTACCACTCGAGAACCTTTCCTCCCCTATCAATTGTCGGTTCCTTAAATGAAATTTCTAGTTTAATAATTATTTTATAGTTAAATATATAAATCACAGCCAAGAGCAATATTTACAGAAATCATTGGTTTTCTAGACTGGCTGTTTTGTGGTAGTCTCCTTCCTGTGACTGGAACAACGTTTATTCTTCTTCAGATCTTATTACATAAATGCTACTTCAGATGCGAGTAAATTAGGATCAGCGAGTGCCATTGCCCGTAAAATTGTTGTAGTATTTTCTCGTATCCTTTATAATTTGTAGTAATATTCAGAAGTACCATAATAGTTATGGCAGAAGATTATTATCGGAGTTCAAAATAATAAAGTTGAAGTGTTGTGTTTAACTTTAACTTTGACATTGCAGCACTGCAGACTTCCGCAACGCTTTCCTGAAGACGATCCGGCAGATCATCCGCGAGTCGGTGCGCAACATGGCGCTGCCGAGCTCGCGGCCCGCGCCGACGCCGCCCCGCGCACCGCACACTCTAGACCGAGATCGCTCCAAACATCAGGTACCTAACGTAATCATTTTTACTTATTGCATAGATTTGGTACAATTCGGTACATATTTTTACTCACGGCCTTACTTATAATCGTTGATTATAATGTCCTCCAGACCGAATTTCGGCCACGGCGGCCAGCCTCAACGGAGGCTAGCCATCGGCACAGGACAGGATTATAGTGCCCAAGTGTATGCGAAATCACAGGTGCACTCTCTATTCCCTCACTCTCATAACTCTCTCCGATGGGGCGGTAAACCAACACGACCGGAAAGATATCAGGCGCAGGACCAACGGCTTTACGTGCTTTCCGAGGCACGGGGGTGAGACACCGCCAACTTCCTGACTCCGGGCAGCTACTGAGAATTTCTAGACGGAAAAACTCAATATTAAATTTTTTGGCCCCACCCGGGATTCGAACCCAGGACCTCATGGTCAGCAGTCGCACTACTACAACCACTAGACCAACGGATCAGTCAAGGTCTTTCTTAAATTAAGTAGTAATTCTTACGTGGTAGAGCCACGCTGCAGAATACAAGCGTCAAATAGTAGCTTAATGCTGCTGTCTTCCGTATGGTGAATGTATAGAAACGGAGACCCTTTTTACTGGCAACGAGGCATTCCATCTTAGTCTTCATCCAACTTTGTAATCAGGGGTGACAACGCATCTGCATTTTGATTCTTAATGAGGATAAATGTAAATGTCTATGGACCACACATACACTTACCATCCGATAGATTGTGTTCGTTTGTCACCCTATTCTATAAAAGTATCAATTATCTCTATACCTGTCTCTTTCTATTGTCGTTTACTTAAAAATAGAGAGGGCTACTTTAAAATATTTTAATGGACGTCGTTTTATGTGAAAAGCAGTTAAAAATAAGCTCATTCCATGTATGATATCAATAACAGAATTAAAAATTAATTTATTATTAAAAGCCACTCAGTAAAAATAAGTCTGCTTGTGGTGATATCTTATATAAATGGTCGAGGAGGGCATCGGCTGCCACATGGGGCATACTGGTGAACAGGTGTGGGTCTACCCTGCTCGCGCTTACATTACATTACCTATATATGTCTATTCCCTTACAATTTTAATATAAAAAGACGAAAAAGTGGATACCTGCGGAGCCTCTTTCGCCATTTATCTTCTTAGCTCATCTTGAAATGCTAGTTGCTTAAAAAAAGACGTTGACGTTTGTTAAATAACATCTTGATTTTTTTCTTCGAAAAATAAAGAGCTTTTATTTCATTTCATATGTAACGTGTCCAATCCAAACAGATTAAGCTATTTTGTGAGAATTTCAAAAAGTCAACGCAAATCTAAATTATATCTTAATGGTATGATTTTTTATATTTCATCACTATCAGGGATAAGCAGATTTAAAAAAAGTAATCGCCAAGTTGATTGAATGCATTCGCATTTTCCTGCGTAGTAGTAACGTACTTATTACAATTCGAAAATCATTATGAAACACATCAACATGATTTTCAAAATTATGAAATCCCAAATTATGAGTTGTTCATCTTTGCACAGACTCCACTGCTGAACATCCCCCCCCCCCCTTAAATTCCTAATATCTTTCCACGTCGTTACTCAATCTAGTGGATAACTGCACTACACGGACATTTCAACGTTGAAATAATACTAGTTTTTACGGAATTTATCGCGTATATTTAACTTTATTAATACCCGACGTTTCGAACGCTTTACAGCACTCATGGTCACGGGCGGGACTGAGATGTTCAACGTCCATATGTCATAGTTAACCGCGGTTACCATAGATTAACATTTATAACATTAACATTTCAACGTATTAATACTTTTAAACGTATTTTTACAGCAATGTAATAAAATTACTTCAAATTTTTAACGTTCACAAAACCATGATTTACACATAAACTTAAACAAAAATAAAATGCGAAATCTTTGATGTACTATATTTTTATAGGTGCACGTCATGCAAGGCTCACAAACTCTTGGAAAAACAAAGAAACCTAAGACAACTGGACAGCGTTTATCAGCCGGAAATATTGAGGTATGCCTAGACACTCTTAATTTTTTAGATATATCGAATAAGCGAAGAGTAAACTTGAATCGCAATATTATTGGTTTAGGTTGGTGACTTATCTCGCGAGAATTCTCAAGACGCCGACGAACCCCCACAAGATGTATCTTCTGACGAGCCTACCTTCAGATCACGAAGCAAAACAGTCGGTGACTCGTCCGGTTAGAACCTCTTTGTTGGTTTTATTTATTTATTTATTTGTTTCAGAGACACGGTACAATAAGTTTTTGTTATAATTTTTAGGATTATTTACATGTCTTACCGGTACCGGCGTAGAAACAGCACGATTATCAATTATCAATTCTTAGTTTTTTACAATGTCAGCAATAATATGTCAATATAACTACATTATGTCAATCTAATAGCAATAATTACAGCACATAATTAATACATTGTGAAATATAACTTAATACTAATAGGCTTTAATTATTCAGAATAGTAGTTGCATACATTTGAAGTATGCGAGTAACGCGGGTTCGATCCCCGCCGGCATCAATGAAATTGTTAATTGCAATTTTAAGTGCTGATTTACGACGTGCTCGACGGTGAAGGAAAACATCGTGAGGAAACCTGCATGTCTGAGGAATAAGAAAAAACAATATTTCGAAGACATGTGAAGTTCGTCAACACGCATTTGGGCAGGGTGGCGGACACTTCCTTGCCCTAAACCCTCTCAGAAATGAGGGGGAGGCCTGAGTGAGGCAGTGGGACGTATATAGGCTGTAAATTTACTTTACTTTTTTTACATTTGAAATTAGTAAAACATTGACATTTTTATGACTAACAGGCGTTTTTTTTTAACTAAATAATATTTCCATCTCTGTTTTTTAGTAATATACCAATTTTTGTCTCAACTACTTAACTAGAAATAAAAAAGTGATAACAATAGTATGAGTTGTAACTTTGTTTGTATGTGCAACATGCAGATAGCAGCAGCAAGAGAGCATTGCCCGCAGCTCCGCCGCCAACAGACACCGATAGGTCGGAGCCAGGTTCTAAATCAGAAGGCGATGAGGAACCGCCGGCGCCGCCTGCCAAGAGAGGGTTAGGCAGAACTCCTAACCACCTCACGCTAAGGTATCAACATATGTATGGGTTTAACATCACAAATGACAAATACACTGCACCTACACAACTGTGAATTGGAATGAACTCTTCACACTCACTCCATTTGTTTATTTTTAATATTCTCTTTTCTAAATTAATGTAGGTTATATGTTCCTACTCATACATATGTCACTACTTTTATATGTTCTTATCATATTTATATGTTTGTATCATACGTATTTTATACATTTTTTTATATTTTTGTATGTACTTTTCAGCACAACTTCAACTTTAAGCGCCGGTAGCACAGGAAGTCAGGCAAGATTAATTCAGTCATCACACCAACCAACTCAATACCAGCCCACTATGGTGAAAGAATTAGGTAAGATCGAGTCACATTCTCTGAAATCATCACCGGAGCGCAAAAAAACAGCGTATTCTTCGGAAAAAAAGATAAAAGTTATTCGATCAGGAAGTGGCAGCAGTATCCACCAGGACAGGTCCCCCAACCGGTCCGCGGATCCCTCTCCAGATAGAGACCGTGTCACAAAGGTCATAATATGCAAATCCCCAAACAAATCCAGTCTTAAACAAACTAAAACACTACAAAAATCTCCACGGGGCAGTTTTGATCAATCTAAATCTCCAAGAGATTCAATCGACAAATCTCGTTCTCCACAACAAAGCTTTGACGGCTCAAGATCGCCACGCGGTAGCATAATGAAATCACGCGAGAGTAGCGTCGACAGAGCAAAATCACCGAAACCAGCCCCGAAGAAAGGCATAATGCGAACTCCACAAGCCAGTTTCGATAGATCGCCAAGCAAGTCACCAAATGTTAGCCGTCGCTCTTCTAGATCAAGTGGTGACAAGCTAGCTAGACTCGGTACAAATTCCCTTGATAGAGTATCGCATTACTCTCAGTTGGCTAAGGTTGAAGATAAAGCTATAAAAATGGGTATTGTTGTTTCGAAGTCAACTGAATCAATTGCTAAAGCTATTGAACATCCTACCTGTGTCCAGTGTTACCTTTCTGGGAAAAGGCAGAACAAAACATCCTAGCATAAGGGGAAGGGCAAGTTCCCAAGGTCCCGTAGAAAATCTCTAACGTCACAGTCTATACTTGTAACATCAGATCGCAGCAGTGTAGAAACTATAGACGGAGCGGGTCACGAGCGCGGAATTTGTCCTTCCTACAAACATTCTTCTGATAGGCATGAATTAGATCAAATACATGTCTAACTTATTGCCCCTTATAACATAAATATAATAAGTAACCACACAAGTAATAAGTAATATACATATTAATTATCTACATTTACATATGTGTACTATAACACATTTCAATAATATTCTCAATGTTTATCTAAAGGTGTAATAATTTAGATGTTTATTGTTGCTAATTAATATAAAAGGAATTGAAAAAAAAACTAAATATTTATGTAGCCCATTCAATACTATGTAATATAATAAGCAATTACTTAACCACAAAAATGTGTATTTAAATATTCCTAATGAATATTTAAAAAGAAATATTGAATTAATAAGAAATATTTAAAAAAAAAAAAAGTGATCGTACTAATAGGAACTTTGCGAGACAATGGATGACGTTCAATTTACTTATACGTAAATAATTATTATTAAAAATGATTATGCATTTTCTCTCATTCACGTATTATATACCAATGAAGTATTTTAAACTTCTTTGTAAATGTAAGAAAAAATGTAGCGTTTTATAAATTATTAGGAAAACGAGAAAAATAATAAGCATAATTAAATTTAATCACAATTATAATTCTAGAAAATCCAAGTGCTAAGTGTTATATTATAATGGCTGTGGAATCGTACTGATGTTAATCATTAACCACGTTTGTCAAATTTTCTCTCTTATTAATTTTATTTCGACTGGTACTATACATTCCAATAGGTTAATAAAGTGATCTTACGTAGGCGGTCATGGTTTTGTACCATTAATTAAGTCTTCCATTTCGATGAATCTATTTATTAAAGTTATACATAATTTCCTTATTTATTTTTGTAACCTTTTCTTCGGTACCTGCTTAAGCTAAGATTAAGTTGACAATATGTTATAGAAAATAAAAGCCGAGTTATTCTTCTCTGTATTAATATTTATAGCAATTTATTTAATTTACTATGATTGCAATTTAATAACAAGTCGTATCATTAAATTAAATAAACGTCTTTTTATTACATATTCTATTTGCATGTTTAAATCAATATACGTGTAGCTAGTTTCCAATAAAGCGCCTAAGCGCTTTAAGGAAAAAATATAATTAAAATGTAGTTATACATATTGAGGTACGAAATTTTCAAATAGGCTAGTCCTTAAAAATATATACACTTTCTGTATGTAGTTACTTGATATTATAGATCAAAGTAGGAAAAATAAATTCACCCTGTTCATATTGTGCTTTCCTAGCCATGCACAGTATTTATTTTGAATAAAATAAAGATCATGCACAAGTTCGGGCTAAGAGTCCAGAATAAGACTTAAAATACTATTGGTACACTAGATATAAATAATTAAATAAGTACAGTAGTAAATGTTAAAGCAAAGAAACCCAAAAATATGCTTCTATCACCTCACACTAATCCGTCGAGAATTCTAGCTTCATTTGAATGTTCGATGACAATGTTGACCGCCGGAAAAATAAAACCTCTTAACCGCCGTCAAATTATACTGTATATCATAATCCACACAAATAAATTGGGCGAACGCTCGTACGTTTTCAAACGGGGCGACGAACCTACGACAACATTCATCAAACATTCAACTCTTTTTGACGCGACACCACGATAACCTGGCAATCGGTGCGATTATTATTGCAAAATTCAATATCGAAGCGGGAGCTGACGTAAAAGTTGTTTGTGAAAGAGTTTGGTGTTTGGTGTGTTGTAGGATCGCCCGTGTGGAAACCGCGCGACATGATGGGCGAGGCGGGCGCGGGCGCCGGTGCGGCCGCCGCGCCCCCCGCGCCCCCCCGCGCCCACCACGCTGCCGCGCTCGCAGCGCCCCGCACCGCGCGCCCACCACCTCTCTGCCAGCCGCAAGTCGCTCGCCCCGGACCATCGCCACTAATCACACTACCACTCCCCTCTTAACTTACACTCATATCGTGGCCTACCCTCCTAATAACTTCTATAATATCTCAATTTTACATTAACTTAAATTCCCAACACCCTATATAAATGCATAGTTTCATGAATTACTTCATGAAATACTTTTATTTTAATTCGTTATTGATCATAATTTTGATTCAAAAATTCTGATGTAATTTATATTGACATAAATCAAACGTCTTTTGTCTGAGCTACAAATTATTGCTAATATGAGTATCGATGTTATAATTTGAAGTTGTTGCATATTTTTCAAACTTATTGCGAGCGTTAATTATCAGAGAGCAACGACTTTAGTCAGAGAGTTAACTGTTGTTTTACCTTCTCAATACTAACAGTTGTCGACTATGATATATGAATTGTTTTATAATCATAAACTTTTCATATAATGCTTAACATATTATAGACCCTGAATTATCTTTTATCTTTTACCATAACCGTCGGACTATTTTTTCCCTTTTACGAAGTCGATTATTAAATTTTTTTTAAAAGAGATTAAATTTATGCTTATATTTTGTTTGTCAACAATCAGGTGATTAACATATATTTTTAAACTGTTCATACTTTTTAAAACACCACTTGAATTATTTTGACACTTCATGGCAATAGAAATAAAATTAATGGAATTTTATTTATTAAACATTGAAATCTAATCTCACAAAACAAAACTCAAAATTTATTTTTATACCCACTTTGATATCATACAGAATCAAATAAGACTGCGCACTGCTCTTGAACGACTTATAGCAACTGTTTTTAATTTTGTTTCATATATAGAATCGGATCATTAATATATGCATGTGGAGTCAAAAATTATACATACGAAGTCAAAAATACTACTATCAGATAGAAATAAATGTTGTGACATATATTGCATGGTACCCTACGTAGTTTCAAGTCTGCTCGGAACACTATTATTGATCACACATAAAATAATTGTCATAGACAGTAAGTTTTCTTTACATTAGACCTACAATGAATCTCCTTACGTAAGTCGATATTATAATTACAAATAATGACAATATCAATAGCAAATCAAATGTAACGAAGATTACATTACATTACATTAGTTCATTATAGTTCGTAATTGAAACGTAAAATGTTTGACTTTTATTTTTGTTTTAAATTTTAAAGGCGCGTTATCATATTATTGTTTAACCTCATTATATAATGTTAGAATGTCACAGACTTATTAGTTTTATGTTTTGCATTAATATTAGAATTAACTTTTAATTAAACAAATTTTGGTTCAGTAACATAATCAAAGTAAAAAATCCAGCGCACATTTTTAGACATGAATGTCGTCTTTGAAATTTACAGTACAGCTACTTGTACTTATTTTTCACATAATTAGAATCTTAAATTTTCTTTGAAAATATTTTATATTTCGTTCTAAATAATATGAGTAAGCTTGTCTTATAAGACACGATAATATGGACTCATGTGCCAAATTCGGTATCCTTTATACCTGTGCTTTGTTAAATGTTTACTGTTAACTTATACATACTGAATAAATTTATGGACAAAGTAGTTAGATATAATGAACATGCGTTTCATTTCACACTGCGACGCAAATTCACTACCCTATAGTTCAAAATGCACTTACCCTATGGAAAAGTTACACTAGGTAGTTTTGATAATTTCTCTTCGTGATCAAATTCGAAAGTTCTATCATAGGTTAGGCGAATGATATAACATGTATCCTAGATTGTGTTTAATACGTAACCGGATGATATTTACAATTAATATTTATTTGGTATAGAAATACATTTACGCTGATGTTTGTAACCATGAAAAAATTGTGTAATGTATTAAAAAATAATTTAATTTTATTATTATCATATATTCTAATTTTATTAAAATATCTACATACAAGAACACTCTTACATAATATTTATTTATTAACATAATTTAACTATTCGAAAGACTTAATCCTTTTTATTCATAAAAATCAGTGTCATTCAAAGACCTATCTTGAGCTTTTTTCATTGACACATTATGATTATAAGTCAATATTTTTTATCCATTACAGGTAATGATTCAATTAATTAATAAATTGAAACATTAATTAAATAAACTTGTTGCAACTCAAAAATAGTCGACATTAGTAAGAGTTCGTTTAAAGGACTTGGCTATACATAAATAATTTCTCATTCATACGATGTAAAGTCCAGGATAAATGATATTATATTACTGCAGACTCGACAGCTATAATGCGAAACACTTAGCTTAATTTTATTTATTTTATGATAGTGATTGCGAGTGGACATATCATTAATAAGAAATATAATTTACTCCGCAGAATTTTTTCATGGCTGCAAATAAGGCTCGTTAGTTTTAATTATTTACAGTAAATCTTGAGATAATTAAACGTATATATTAACAATCTGTAGATATTGTAATTATTTATTATTATGTCACAAATATTGCATTTATATTTCAATATTATGTATCGTTTTAAAGATTGTTTTTGTGATTTATTGAGATAAAACCTGTTTATTAATATACATATGTTAAATATTCGAATTTAATAATTACGAACTTATACACACAATTTATAGATATTGTTATACTAAGAAAATATAATAATAAAATGAATAAACAAATATGAGTGAAAATTGAAATGAAGAATGAACTCATTAATTGCGATTGTATTTCATACTTCAATGACATTTGAAATGTAATGTAGGAAAATGAATGAATATTTAGAAAGACTTATTGAAGTAAAATACGAATGAAACTAATGTTATAATAAGTATTGTACTTTTATAATTTACTTTCATAATTTGCCATCGGTTTTTATTTGTTGACTTAAAATATCTTTTATTTTAAAATTTATTTCATTTCTTTTGAAGACAAAGCTTTGTTTCATTGTAACAAAATACTTTATTGAGTGTGTAAATAGGGATTGAACCAAGCAAGGGACGTATTATATTCAAAGGCTAAATTATTTTAATAATGTAATTAATTGCAAATAATAGCATCATGCATTAATTATCATCTGCCATTAATTATTTAAAAGTGATATTTTTCATTACGTTTGTTAATTTTAATAAATATTCAAAGTGCCTTTACGTGTTTTGAAAAAGAAAAAACACGCGTGTATTTCACATTATGGCATAGCAATACTCAATAAGGTGTTTTGTTTTAAGTACTGTTGCTATCAAAAATATTTTTTGTAACAATTTTAAGTGGCTTCCAACAATACTCATTTGGTTATTGTACAAGTAAGATGATTGTGAATTTATCAGTTCTCGAAATATTAATTTGTTAAATTTTGTGACACATAAAAATTACTTTTTATTGCTTAATAAATATAAAACGTATCTGTGGACTTTTCGTGACTCATTATCGGCAATCCGAAAAAAGTAAAATCCCATTATATCTGATGGTCAATAATGCTTTGGCTCATGCTGGCATAACAGAATCCTCTTTTTTTACATAGAAGAATTAGCCCGGTATCGTATAGGTTTAGAAGTCCGATATCAACAAAGAATTTAAATTTTTAATTTTTTTATACACTCATAGCTGTGCTCAAGCTGTAAACTTTTGTTTCTTGTTGGAAATGATAAAAAGGAAAGATAAAACACTTTCTAATTTTGAAATAAGACTTTTAATAAAAAGAAAAAATTGGCATCAATGAACTTGAAATAATAAAATAAAAGTTAAAGTTACAGCCTATATCCGTCTCACTGCTGGGCACATTGCCTCCTCTTATTACTAAGAAAAAATAATAAAATAATTTCCATATCAGTTTGTGCTAAGATATTTACTGGTTGCGAGGTGTTCTTCTATCTAGGAGTCGGTCTGGACGGTGTCACCCTATCTCTACCGCCAAATAGCAATGCATGCACTGCTGTGTTCTGGTATAAAAAGTTCTATCCTACCCTGGAATTTATAGTCGATAAGTGAACAGCCCTCCGAAATCCTTCAATCTTTCTTGTCTCTCATTAACAACTACTGAAGAATCCATACCTGAATAGTGCTTCATGCGTCATTGCCTATTACTTAATTATGCTTTCCATAAAAATTCTTCCTAGGTGTCACTTTGGCAATACATAAAAATTAAAAATAGACAAAAGTAAAATTAAAATACTATTTCTAATAATATCGCTGTTTTTTATCAGAGATTTCTGTTAAAAGGTACTGTATTGTACTTTATATTACTAAAAGTTAGTTTGTAAAACTTATTAATTCCCTTTCATAGACAGTAGTGTAGTATAATAAATCTATGTTCCGTTTGTATAAATCGTTTAATGACAGCAAAAAATATATTTATTGCAGAAGAAAAGAGGATAAGCAAGCAGTTTCGCAATTAAACTAGCAATTTTTAAGTTATTAATTTTATTACATTGTTTATTTTCACAATTCTTTCAATGTACATCTCACGATATGAAATTATGGGGATTGTTTGTATGACGAAATTTAGACAGTCAGCAATCAACCCTTGACATCTGTCAAATTTAGGGGCTTCTTTTGTCTATGACATTCTTAAAGGTTGTATTCAACACCTGGGGCCTAAATCGTCCCCTAGGGGGAAGTCGGGGGAATCTTTATTTTGTATACCAGTGTTAGGCCACAGGTGTGACAACTCATCTGTAATCTTCTTTGTTTGAAGTCGGCTACAGGTATCTATAGGGTGCAGTAGTCACTTACCATCAGGTGAACTTTAAATTCGCCTGTCGCTACAGTTTTAAAATAACAGTGTATAGAAATATTAAAGCCACGACTTCAGAACATATGAATTGGAAATTGTTTTATTCTTATTAGGTTACTTGAAGTTCTTTTTTGTTTTTTATAGTTATATAAAATTTATTATTTATTTATTATTATCCTAAACTTTTTTTCCCTTTTGGGTGAAATTTTCCTTCAAATTTGTATAGTACCCCTGAAATATGATCTCTTCAATTAAACGTGTAAATGAAATCGAATCGAGTAACAAAGATACAAAAAAAAAACATGAAGTCGAATCGAGAACCCCTTTT